ATTATTCCCACAGTAACAATCAAGAGTAGTTTCATCACCAGCTATCAGATAATCCCAAAAATGTACAGTGTGTGCCTGTTTGGAAGGTGGGGATTATATTCTTTTATTTTAGGCAACTGTAAAAAGAGCAGGACAAATAGAAAGCTCAGTGAAAGAATTTTTTTGGTTTAAGAAAAGTTTTAGCTAGGTTTTGAATGAACAATCTTCCATTTACAAGGCAAGAGAGAGACAGAAACAGACTGTGACCAACAGACACTTAAAAAACTATGTACTCCCAGGAGGACCTTTCCGTAGAGTGGAAGGTGATTGGCCATAGCTTTCTTAGAACTGAAAGGGAGGGGACAGCAGCAAGGGAATTGTCCAATGGGTGGACTACCTTGCCATCTGAACCAAATACCTTATAAGCTGTTGCCAGTTTGTCAGTCTGAAGAAAGTTTTCTTATGCTGATTTATAAACAAGCCAGCTGGAGCCCAGGAGGGGAGGATGGCAAATGTGAAAGTGCCCTAAATTATGAATCTCACTTTGGAATCTGAAAACTACCAATGCTATTTTGGCACAAGATTTGGCTGTGGGTTCCTTTGATACCTACCTGTGACTGGAATAAATATTTAAATCCTAAACCCAATAATCTCTATGCCTCAGAAGGTGACAGTATAAGGCTAACTTTATTTGAGGTCAAAGTGAAGTAGGATCAAGCTTGATTGCTACTTGGGCGGAAATATTTCAAGGAATCCTATCCTTATGGAGTAAACTGGGAAATCTCAGCCCAAAGAAAGCAATGCAAATTGATTGGGTCCTTAGCCAAAAAAACTACATGGACATGTCCGTGTAACTCAGAGGAGTCTTCTTTTAAGGTTCTGTATATATTTCTTTTAAAAAGAATGCTTGCATGGAGCTTCCTTTCTAAAGTATAAGCAAGCAAACTATATACTTCAGTGGATTGTGAAAAAAATTGTTTTTCATTTTGCTCTTGTAAATCTGAACCAACTTGGTAAAATATTAAAAATGGGTAGAAACTATAGACTACCATGAAAATTACCTTGATGGACATCTATGGAGATTCTCAGTCATCCAGGTCATGGTTGTCCCAAAGGTACTTGTTCAAGAGGCAACTGGACTTTGTTTTTCTTTGAAGATGTTTCACTTCTCATCCAAGAAGAAGAAGAGCTGAAGAAGCTTCTTTGGATACCTTTGGATACTTCAATGGACCTTTATTTAGGTCATCATGATGAATGTTGCCCTTTTGCCTTAAGGACAGTGAATCCCTAAACCATTCCATTTATAGCTATTGAGTATGTTGTATAATCTCACAATGCCCATACATTTAGGATTCCAAGGAGCCATGTATTTGATTAATCTGTCAAATAATTAGTTATGAAATATAATATATATATATATATGTCAGATGAGACCTGAAAGCTCAACCCCTGCCACTCACAGTGGCTGATATTTGGAGGGGGGCGAAAGGGCAAGTCAACTGCAGTCCACTAAAGCAATTTTATTGTGCCTATGAATAAATGCACAGTGACTGAAACTGGAGCGACAACTTATACACTGAGTGACAGGAGAGGATTGTTTAAACTGCCAGATAGTTTGAGATCTGTGATATGCTATAAATCACACATACATCTGACTGTTGCAATAGATTTTAGAAATGTGTAAAGCTGTATAGCCTCTGTTCCAAACTGGCTCATATTTTTTCATATGTCTTTGGAGAAGACTCATGTCTCTTCAGATGTTCTGCTTGATTTTTCTTTTCGGTTTCATTTTTTTCCCCTGTAAAAGGAAAGAAAAGCTTTCCTTTTACAAAAGAAGGACACAGTCATTATTTGGCCTGGAGGGTAATATGTAGGATATTTGTTTGGTGCTTAAGTGATGGCTGGAAATTGAAGGCATCAGTTTGTGAAAGACTGTAGGTTTAATATATGGGAACATATAGTGTGCTTCCCATTAAGAAAAAAGAGTTCCCAAAATGAACTTTTCCCTCCCTTTTGGTTATCTTGCAGTAATATTATTTCTCCTATATCAAGTTAGGTCTCAAATTAAGGATTCAACAGAAATAACACTGAATGTTTTTCAGCATGGTAGGGTATAAATGTTGTAATAAAAATAAACCAATAAAGTGTTTATTTCTATGTATTTAAAATCACTGAAAACAAATATGTTCCATCGAACTTTTTAAAGCTGTATTGGTTGCCTCTAGATTTCTGGGCTCAGTCGAGAATGTTTAAAGATCTAATGCTGCATCACCCAGTCACCCCAGAAGTTCCCATCTTGTCAGAACAGAATTTGCCTATCTAATCCATTCATCTAAATAGGACATCCTATGAATCTCCCGTCCTTACAGTGCAGCTGTGGTATAGACAAGATTGGGAGCGCCCTATCAAATCCTGCACCTGTTAATAGCGGTGTCCCCCAAGGCAGCGCTTTAGGATCAACACTCTTTATACTTTACATAAATGACCTTTGCGACAATATTACAAGCAACTGTGTTCTCTTCACTGATGATGTAAAACTATTTAACACCACCGATAATGCTGCTACTCTTCAAAAAGACCATTCATATATCTGAATGGTCAAAAAATTGGCAACTCCAAATCACAACCAACAAATGCTCTGTTCTTACAGATTGGCAAAAAATAAAAAATAAAAAAATAAAAAATAGAACACAAAATACAAGCTAGGTCCACATGACCTTGTAGACAACACTCACTCTGTCAAGGACTTTGGAGTACTCATATCTAATGATCTAAGTGCCAGAGCCTACTGTAACAACATTGCCAAAAGGCATTAAGAGTTGTTAACCTAATCTTATGTAGCTTCTTCTCTGGTAATACTATACTGCTAACTAGAGCATAGAAAACATTTGCTAGAACCAATTCTTGAATACAGCTCATCTGTCTGGAATCCACATTGCATATCAGACATTAATACAATTGAACGAGTCCAGAGATATTTCACAAGAAGAGTCCTCCACTCCTCTTCTCACAACAGAATACCTTATGCCCCCAGACTTGAAATTTTGGGCTTAGACAACTTAGAACTATGCCACCTTCCATCTGACCTAAGCATAGTACATAAAATTATCTGCTATAATGTTCTACCTGCCAATGACTACTTCAACTTCAACCACAACAAGACACGAGCATACAATAAATACAAACGTAAGGTAAACTGCTCCAAACTCGATTGCAGAAAATACGACTTCAGCAACAAAGTGGTCAATGCCTGGAATGCACTACCGGACTCTGTGGTTTCTTCCCCGAACCCCCAAAACTTTAACCTTAGATTGTCCACTGTCGACCTCACCCCATTCCTAAGAGGTCTGTAAGGGGCATGCATAAGCGGACTAAAGTGCCTATCACCCCTGTCCTAATGTTTCCTTTTATTCCTATCCATTTCATGTATTCATAATCATGTTTTACACTTATACATGTTATCAAATACATGCTTGATGAAATAAATAAAATAAAAATAGAATTAAGATGATAGCCCTTCTCGGTAGTAACCTTCTATACAATTCTTGGGGGTATGTAGAGCCTCAACTCCCAACTCTTCTTGAATCTAGGAAACAAGTGAAAAATGCCTCATTTCATCATGCCTTTGGTCCAAGATTATAAAGTGTGGCCATGAAGAGAGATAATTGCATTTTGTTTACTTGGCATGTAGTAGGTAGGAAGTGACAGTAAGAACAACTGTGATTGTGGAGCTGATTTCCACAAGAGGGTAAAAGACAACAGCCTTAAGAGATGATATTTTTATGAATAAGGAGAAATGTGTTTGGCTCATGACCTAACCAATACTCTTAGTATGAAGAAAAAATATCTCGAAATTTTGCAATCCTACCCTGGAGTCACAATTGTGGTAAATTATGCTTAAAATTACATACAGTTTTAAAAATTAAACACTCCTGTAAACATGTGCTGCCATCAACTCGTGAAATTCATCTGTTTTCAGTGTTTGCAGCATCTTAATTGTTTGTTCATTTGTATTAGCTTTGTCCTTACAACCATCCAAAGATTCTTGGCACTTAGCAATAACTATGTAGCAATCAACAATACCATAAAATCAGAATAAAAATACAATGAAGCAGCCACAATGTCAATATTAAGCAACAATAATAAGCCAATAGTATGGTTTCACCCTCATTAAGATGCATGGAAAAAAATGTCTTTGAAAACTTACAGAAACTTACAGTTCATAAGGCAGCCAATCCAATTCTCAGCAAAAAAAATAAATAAAAATGTAGCATTGCTGGCCCCACTGAGCAGCAGCACCTCATTTTAGCAAAGTGGGGAGTCACAAGTGCTTCCCCCCCACCATGAGCAAATAAGTTAGCTGATATTCATCTGTAAGAGGGCCTTGTAAATTATTTTGTGCTAAAGTATAAAAGAATGTATAGATCAAAATCAGCACCCAAGAACTGATAGTCAATCAACGACAAATCAGTGCAACATGTTTTGTTGATTATGCTTCTATATTCTAAACTAGTTTTCACTTGCCGTCTCACAATGTGCCCCAAAGGGCATACCTGGTTCAGATATTTCATTCCAGCTTTCAAATATTTTGCTGCAAGTATGCTGCTTTATCTGGTTTTGATCTTTCTTCCTTGCCTTTCTTCCTTTCAAGATTGCATCAACCCTCCCACCATTACTATTCACCATGAAACCAATGAAAGCAGCAGACACCTATGCACAGAGCTATCACTTGCCATCTGTCTGTTTACAGCAACTCTCCCAAGCTTTTCCAATGAAAACTCCTTATGGGAATTTGTTCATTATCCGGCAGGTGTTAAAGGAAAAGAAATCAACTGAATCCAAACCAGCTGCCCAAACACTTATTAATAGTTTTTATATGAATACATTAAGCTGGTTTGCATGGAACTGAATACATATTGCTGGACTCTTAAAAAGTTGGTTGTGGGGTGATGAAAGGATAAACAAATTTGAAACACATTTCCTTCTTAACTAGTCAATAACAGTCATCATCATGATCTTACCTTAGTCTGAATATAAATACAGGTGTGTGTTATTTTTGTAAGGCGAATACTCTGGTCTGAAGCTGTCTGTTAACCAAATAACTTCAGACACAATAAAATCCAGGCTGTCCAATATTTGCTAAATAAATCAGGATGACGGAGGGGAAAATAAGAAAATGTATGAAAGGAAATGAGCCACTCTTTGTTGGTAACTAGCCATTGTGAGTTGTGCCTCAGATGCTGATTCCACTCATGAGGGGGGCAACAAACATCACATGTGTCATAACAGCATCACACAAATAATGCAACTAATATAATTACATTTTAGCATCACAATGTGTGTGATGTCATTGTGGCTTTTACTGGACACCTATATGGATTGAATGGTTTTATACTCCCTATTTTCCCTAGGTGCATTCTCATTGTATAGGTTTTTAAACCAATCTCTCCATTATATGTATATATATTTTGCTTTTTGACAGTTCCTCTTATTCTGACAACTTCTGTAATGTTCCCAAGCATGGCTATTACAGTCTCAAACATCTGGATTGTCTAACCTTAGGAAGGAACTGATATAGTAATACAGCTGAGAACTGTACCTAGGCTCAGGAGTATAATAGGTAATAGTTTGCTGTAATGGTGGTGAATGGCCATAAGCTTATAATTACATTCCCTATTTCTGAGTTGCTAAGGGTCAAAACTAGTTGTTTTTATGAAACCTATAAGTAAGGAAAACCCCTTTAAATTGAGTGTCTCTGGAATAACAGCAAAGCTTTTTTTTTTTTAATTTGATTTATATGCCGCCCTTCTCCGAAGACTCAGGGCGTCTTACAATGCGTTAAGCAATAGCCTTCATTCTTTTTGTATATTTTATACAAAGTCAGCTTATTGCCCCCACAAACTGGGTCCTCATTTCACCTACCTTAGAAAGGATGGAAGGCTGAGTCAACCTTGAGCCTTGGAGAGATTCGAACCAGCAGAAATTGCAGGCAGCTGTGTTAATAACAGGGTGCACTAAACCACTGTAGTATCAAGGCTCTTTCTTATCTTGATGGATTCAAAACAAATGACTTCAGAAATGGGTAATTGTTTCACTTCCAATTTGCTGTTTAATCAGCTGTATTGTCCATTGGGTTGATCCCTATTTCACCTCAAGTGTAGATTCACTAGGTAAACAAATGATTCTAGAATGCCCTGACTACATTATTTACCTAAATGGGGAATTAATATTTGATAATATGTCACAAGCAGGGAATTAATAATGCCTTAATCTTATAAGATTGAGAATTAAATTTCTTCCTGTGCAGGCAAAATGTAGCTTCATAGCGTAACCTCACGCATGTTGGGCAATCATTGGAATGGCATGCATTTAATCTTGCAGACAGTGATAAGATCATCAAGATTCACGTAAGGGACCATTTCAGTTTTTTAGAATCCCTGCTTTATGAGTCCCTTGGAGGTAATCATGTTGAGGGCAATGAAGGATTAAAACTATGTGATTCATTAGTCAGCTGCACTAGGGTATAATTATATTAGTCAAATTTAAAGCAGGTAGTGATGGAGGAAGGGAAAAATAGCTACCTATTTTTCAGCTATGTAAAATAGAAGTCCCTGTGAGCTTACAGACCAATAAGAAAAATAGGTGGTAGAAGCATTGGTGTGTCTGGAATGATGTATTTTGTTTGGATCTTGCTTAGCATGATTTATAAACTCAATTGCGGCAATTTGTAATCCATAATATAAATATATTAGCTTGTTGATTGACCCTTCAAATTATGATATATTCCATAAACCATGGTGGTGAGCAATGTCTTATTGTTAAGTGAATCCACTTTATGCTTACATTGATAGCAGGATCCTAGCAGGAAGCTAGAAAAAGGAAAATCAGGAAAAGACCATGAGAGACATAGACTGTCAGATTGGAACAAAAATATTGGTTTGGAGAACCTATGTCCTTCCAAATGTTTCTGAACTACATAATATAATAATGCTGCTGGGTGCTCTTGGTATTTGGAGTTCCTCAATATCTGAAAGCCACATGTTGTGGTTAGATGCTAGGTACAACAGGATACAAAACACTGGAATCTATTTCATTTCTAGTAGATTCAGAACTCAACCTTAACTATTAAGATGATATGATAGAGTCTATTAGGATTATATGATGGAGTCTAAAGATATAATCTATTAAAATTATATGATGGAGTCTATATCCTAAAGTCATAGGATATAAGAGATATAAGATTTGGTAGGGTTATTAATATACCTTGATTCCATCAACAAATAATTCAAAGGAGTTCATCCAAAAAGAGTGAGACCATCTACATGTTATTTATGTTTAGATAAAGATTGTTTCCTTGTAATTTGTGTGCCTGGTTTATAATTTGATAACCAGGTATTTTTAGTTCTTCATCTAAGAAGGTGCCAAGTTCTTTCCTCTCTTAATATATCTGGAATAATGATGTCACAGGTGTGATCACATGGACACACCCAAGTTGGTTTATAGGCTGCCATACATCAGCATTTTTGAGAAATGCATAGGCATAAATAGTGGCTATGCATTTAGAAAAGAAATCTATGTAAAACATTAAAAGTATAATTTCCTTTGAGTACACAGATATTTCCATACAGTTTTCTTGGGACAATCCACATGGGATTTGGGAATTATTTTTTTTTTAATCTTCAGGTATAGACTTCCATCATGGGCCCTCCTGTCTAAGTAATAAATTGGAGTGACCTTGCTTAAAGTTTTTGAGAAAAGCTAAGGTTGCCTAGGCTTTGCTAGTTATCTGAGCAAAGATACACTTGAATTGAACTTGGCTCCTGGGGACCCCATAAATGTATCCATATAACTTCCTTAGCAAGTTATACAAGTTGTCATTGCTATCTGCAGAAATTTTAATCTAGATCCAATTTGTAGTCTAGATCCAAATTGTATCCAGTCTAGACATAGTCCTGGGATTTCTCTGGTAGTCTACAAATATAATACTAGTGTGATTTCAAAAGCATAGGAGTCATGGTTTGTTGTTGCTGTTGTTTTTGTTGTTGTTGTTGTTGTTGTTGTTGTTGTATTGTTTTGTTCTGAAATTACCTAGCTTTGGAGTCACCTAAAATGCTTCATCAAGATAAATAATAAGTAATTTCATGAAGTGAAGTGCATATTCAGTGTGTTGCAGGTTGCCTCTTCAACCCGAACTAACAGCTAATAAAGTGCTATTTTAATATATCAAAATTAAATGCTTCTATTTATGGGTTTAGGAAAGTAGGCATTTACCTAAAAACACTGGATCAATCAATTAAATAAGAGCTATCTTGAGAAATACAGCTTGGTAAAGATCTGAAGGGTACTTATCATAGTACCATAGAAACTGCAAAAGAAGAGGGAATGATCTGAAGTGTGTATGTTGTAATTTCTTTTTAACAAGTTTTATCTGTCAATAGGTCTCCTTAATTTTATTTACTAATTCAATTCTGTGGAACAATTTAGGAACAAATTTGCATTGTAAGGGCCAACAGGCTTCTACAGCTGTGCTTTTTTTCTCCAGTGATGTCATAAAGCAGCTTTGCTTTGCTGGCTGAGGAATTCTGGGAGTTGAAGTCCACAAGTCTTAAAGTTGCCAAGGTTGGAGACCCCTGTCATAGGGAATGGGGAGCAGTAGTATTTTTAGCCCCTTCTCCCACTTTATAGAACAGTGAGGCCTGAAAAAACATAATTATTTGAATTATAATTTTGAATATCATTATTATTCTCTTTCTCAGCTATTTCCAATCAAACCTCTGTGATGGGGGTCTCAAGGGAGCTTCAGGGATCTTAAATGAGTGTTTGTGTGAAAGATTATATAAGGTCTGTTATGTATTGAATATATATATCCTTTTTTCCCCAAAATAATATTATCCCCTGATAATAAGCCCAATTGGGCTTTTGAGCGCATGGCAATAAGGCCAAGTCTTATTTCAGGGTTCAAAAAAAATATAAGACATGGTGTTATTTTCAGGGAAACACGGTAATTGTGTTAAGCCCTGCTAAAGTGAAACTAATCTTTAGATGACCCTAACTGTTAACTCCAACTGTTTTGGAGGGAAACTTGATACATTCATATTTGGGCGGGCTTTTTCAAGTACTATGATTGGTTAAGGCCCTGTGGGCCTAGAGTATAAATTACAGGTATTTGCCTGCTGTTCTTCAGTTCCAGTTTTGAGTCAATAAATGTTGTTGTAGCTATGCTGGTTTGCTTCTTGCCTACTGAAGCCCACTACACAATAAGGTCCATGAACCTTAATTTGCCCACTCTTGAGTTCTCAGGGGTGTTAAACTGGCGGCCCATGGGCCGGATGCATCACGCGCAGGCCACGCCCACCTCAGTTCGCGAAGGCAAAAAATATCATGATATGTCACATGATGTCACATGACATGATCAAGTTTGACACCCGTGGGTTAAAGGTTAAAGGTAAAATCCCCTTGGAATGCAGCTCATAGACATCTCATTATAGTTTTCCTGGAAGCAACAAAGGAGTTGTTTGTCATTGCCATCTATGTCCGTGGCTAGCCTGCATCTTTGGAAATTCATGGTTTCCTATCTAAATATTAATCAGATCCAGCTCTGGTCAACTTCCTGAGATCCATCAAGGTCAGCTGGGCACAAGACTGCTGTAAATGTACTGTCTAAGATTTCTGTTCTCCTTACTTTTACTAATCCCTGCTCTGGCTTTATATTTCAACCTCCGTTCTCCAAATTATAGTGCCAGGAATAGAAAACTGCAGCAGCGCACCTTGCCTGCAAGGAACAAATTAGTGTAACAATTTAAATGGGAGATAGATGAGGTAGATACATAATTTTCCAGTAGGCATGTCTCATATACAAATGATAGTGTCTTATGAGAGTTATTAATAATCACCTGCCAGCAGAAATACCAAAGTGCAGCAGACCTGTTTATTTTCAAATCAGCAGGCCACATTTATTTCATGTCATTAATTTATTAATGGTAAGAAAAACACAGTTTGCTTATTATTACAATTATTATGCTTCTAGCACAGAGGAAAATGATGAATGAAATAAAATAATAACATCCTCCTGGAAAGAAAGGAAAACAAAATTCTATAAATTAAAAATGACTTTAAATGATACAGCCCTTGCCCATTAACACTGGAAATAAGTCACTTTGAAATGACAAAGCAAGTTGTTGTATGCTCCCAAGAATCAACCTTTA